TCTATCTATCTATCTATCATCTATCTATCTATCTATCTATATCTATCTATCTATCTATCTATCTATCTATCATCTATCATCTATCTATCTATCATCTATCATCTATCTATCTGTCTATCTAATCTATCTATCATCTATCTATCTATATCTATCTATCTATCTATCTATCTATCTATCTATCTATCTATCTATCTATCTATCATCATCATCATCATCATCATCATCTATCTAATCTATCTATATCATCTATCATCTATCTATCTATCATCTATCATCTATCATCTAAAATGTGTAGTTAGGTCATGGCCAAAAGTACCAGTGGAGGCAAGTCTTCCAGCTGAGAGGCTGTAGCAGCCCAGAGCCTGACCACATGTCTGCACCCCACGCTCCCTGGGTGCCCTCAGAGACCCTCCGCATGTTCGATTTTCAAGAGAAAAAAAATTAAATATTTTATTTACTGCTGGACATCTGGAGGCGACTGTCAAATTGTGCTTAATAGTCCACCCCTGGCCCAGCCGGCGTGGCTCAGCGGCTGAGCATCGACCCATGAACCAGGAGGTCAGGGTTCGATTCCGGGACCGGGCACAGGCCCGGGTTGCAGGCTCTATCCCCAGCAGGGGGCGTGCAGGAGGCGGCCGATCAATGATTCCCTCTCATTATTGATATTTCTCTCTTTCTCTCTCCCTCTCCCTTCCTCTCTCTGAAATCAATAAAAACATATTTAAAAATAATAGTCCTTCCTGGGGGATGTGTGAAGGCCTGTCCAAGCCTTTGCAAGATTAGTTTGGCTGAGAAGTCGTCTTATGGTGGAGGTACCAGGGCCAGCCGCCTACCTGTGCGTTTAGGGCCACCGGTCATCCACCATGATGACCAGTCTGCTTCCCCTACCGGTTCCCCGGTGGCCAGGTGGGTGACTCCGCACACACACCACACCCCTCTGGTCACTTATGTGGAGCTGGTCAGCACCCACCCGAGGGCGTGCTTGCAGGCTGGAGCTCCAAGGAACGAGGGATACTCATGTCCACCCCTCCCGGCCACAGGCGGTGGGGTCCTGGTCATCGAAAGCCTCCTGGACGAAGACGGACGGGGCCCCCTGACCACGCAGCTGTACTCGCTGAACATGTTGGTGCAGACGGAGGGCCGGGAGCGGAGCCCGGCCCAGTACCGCGCTCTCCTGGCCGGGGCCGGCTTCAGGGACGTCAGGTGCAAGAGGACCCCGGGCACCTACGGCGCCATCCTGGCCAGCAAGGAGCACCCCCTGTAGGTCTGCCGCGGCCGTGGGCACCCACACGTTGCTGTCGACGGACGGCCTCAGCTCGGGCTCTCGGTTTTCCTGCTCTGCTGGCCAGTGAGTTGGGATTTCCGTGGACGGCGGCTGAACGCCCTTCATTCTGTGGGTTCTGTCCTGTTTTCTTTGTAAAAATTTATTTTATTCTATTCTAGTCTAGTCCCCTGAACTCTACTGTGCTCTGTTGTGTTCTGTCTACCACATGGGGACTGGGACATGGACATCCTTGGGGACATGGGTCTGTCTAGCACAAGGGGACCGGGACATGGACATCCTTGGGGACGTGGGTCTGTCTAGCACATGGGGACTGGGACAAGGACATCCTTGGGGACGGGTCTGTTTAGCACAAGGGGACCGGGACATGGACATCCTTGGGGACATGGGTCTGTCTAGCACAAGGGGACTGGGACATGGGCATCTTTGGGGACATGGGTCTATCTAGCACATGGGGACTGGGACATGGGCATCCTTGGGGACATGAGTCTGTGTAGCACATGGGGACTGGGACATGGGCATCCTTGGGGACGTGGGTCTGTCTACCACATGGGGACCGGGACATGGGCATCCTTGGGGACATGGGTCTGTCTAGCACAAGGGGACCGGGACATGGACATCCTTGGGGACGTGGGTCTGTCTAGCACATGGGGACTGGGACATGGGCATCCTTGGGGACATGAGTCTGTCTAGCACATGGGGACTGGGACATGGGCATCCTTGGGGACATGGTTCTGTCTAGCACAAGGGGACTGGGACATGGGCATCTTTGGGGACATGGGTCTATCTAGCTCATGGGGACTGAGACATGGACATTTTGGGGGACAGGGTTCTGTGTAGCACATGGGGACCGGGACATGGGGACATGGGCATCCTTGGGGACAGGGTTCTGTGTAGGCTGGTGCAGCGCTTTCTGAAATGGGCACCTTGCCCTCCTTGGGTCCCTTGCCCCCTGCCCAGTCTGTCCCTCGCTGTGAGACGGGCCGTCCCCGGGGCTGGGTGTATTGACGCCGTCCCTGCCGCGCCCCAACCAGAGGTCCCCGTTGTGAGCGTCACGGGGCCTCGTGGAGAACCCGGTTTCCCCCCTGCTGAGCCCCACTGGGACCGGGCCGTCCATCCCGACCACAACTGTCCAGCAACTTCTGGCCCCGAGCTCCCGCCAAGGGAGTCGTTTCCCCCACTCCCGCGACGGAAAAACAAATGAATTACAACGTCGGTGGATGTTCTGTGTTTAGGGGGGCGGATGAGAACTTTTAATATTTATTTTGTCCGCAGTTTTCAAGTACACAGTACAATCTTCTTAAGTATAGTCCTTGGCCCATTAATTACACCCCCTCCCACTTCTCACCCGGCCCCCCAACTTCCATCTCATTTTAACGACTTTTAACAGCACCGCTTGGCACTGGCACGTCCACCCCCGTGCTTATGGCACCCCCCCATCTCCCGTCTCCCCAAACCGAAGCCCGTAACCCTCACATAAGAAGCCCCCCACTCCCCATGCTCCAGGCCCCCCTGTGCCCCGTGGCTCACCCACCTGGGGCACAACACACCCACCCGCCTCCTGTACCCAGAGCCAGGGGGATGGGCAAATGGCTCAACCACGGTCCCCCCAGGAAGCCGCCCCCCAGGAGAGGGACCCTGACAGTGGAAGACGGGACCTGGGGGGGGGAGGCCAGAGGATACCTGTGCAGGTGAGAGGGGGGCAGAGGGGTCCTTCCCAGGAGGCAGCACCCCAGGCTCCGTGACCAGCTGTGAACGAACAATCGTGAAACGGACAGCAGGGGGCAGTGTTGCACCGTCACCCCGACAGCTGCCTGGTTGGTCTGCGGCCTCTCTGGAAACAAATCATATAAATATACATATATATATATATTTTTTTGGTAAACGCACGTTGCTTTCAGGAGACCTGCTATTTCCATCAGCCTCCCGGTTCCCTTTGCAATAAAATTAAAATAAAATAAAATAAAATAAAATAAAATAAAATAAATTAAATTAAATTAAAATAAAATAAAATAAAATATAAAATAAAATAAAATAAAATAAAAAATAATAAAATAAAATAAAATAAAATAATAAAATAAAATAAAAATAAATAAAATAAAATAAAAAATAAAATAAAATAAAAAATAAAATAAAATAAAAAATAAAATAAAATAAAAAAAATAATAATAAAATAAAATAATAAAATAAAATAAAATAAAAAATAAAATAAAAAATCTACGCTCAGAATTCACAGCCCACGTCGGCCACGATGACACTTACCCGTCTCTCCTGTCCCCGGCCGCCCTGGCCTTTTATCTTCGCAGCTGACTGTGCCTCTTGGAGTTTTGCGGGTGACCCGTCGCCCAGGGGACTCATTAGGCGACGTCGAGTCTCTGTCCCTCTGGGGGGGGGGAGCACAGGGTCGGGGAGATGACAAGGAACTTGTCCCCCCTTTGCTGGGACCGTCTCTGCGGGTGGCGGGCCCCCCTCGTGCTGTGCAGTTCAAAGGCCCGTGACATTCGCTGGCCATTAAAGGGAGACATAAAAGGAGGGGAAATGTCGTGTTTGTGTTACTGAGCGTCTGTGAGCACAAGACGGGGGGTGGGGGGTGTTTGGGTTCCCTCCAGGGGGTCGGTGTGCTCCCCAGAGTCTTGACCTTTGATTCAATGCACCCCCCCTGCCCTGGCCACCAGCCTCCTCATTAGCTGTCTCCTCCGTTTCATGTGGGCCCGAGGGGTCCTCGTTTATTTCCAGCAGCTGTAATGAGGCTTCCTGAGCCGGGGAGGCCGCCCGGGTTGGCCCTGGGGTCCCCATGTGGCTCCCGGGCCCACCACCCACCTCCCTGCTCTGCAGTTGGCATTAAACGGACTCACAGCACCTTCTCCCTCCCTCGGCTCCTTCCCCGCTTTTCTCGCTCTTTTTTTGGAAATTTTTTCCATTGATTTTCCTGCCGTTTCCACACGGTCAGCCGCCGTCTGTCTGTCTCACTCAATGTCACGTCCCACCTGTCTGTGCATTTTCCTTTGAGCGTTTTTGGGTGTTTTTTTTTTTTT